TAAAATTTCAGCTTTCTAGCTTTTCTGGTTCGCGAGTTATCAACTTACCCGAAAAAAATTTTGGTGGGCTCTTACGCGGGTAAGACCGCCCATTTCGGTGATGGGGCCCATACGTGCATGTAGATTATGTCCCCTAATTTTCAGGCCTGTAGTTTTTGCCGGTCTCGAGATGAAAAATCGGCACAAACAAACACACAGACATGCAGACTCCTCGTCAATATGCGTTTTCTGCATTGCATAGCTGCAAAAAACGCATAAAAAAGGACAAAACTTACCAATATAATCCCATGGATAGTGCGGGCGGAAAAGTCGTGCGGACCATATGGAGTCCTGACGGCCATACATGAAAACAGCAACCATTACACTGACAAAGCCTTTCCCAGGCGCACAAAGCAACTGTGTCAATTCGCCACGACTTCGAGCTTCAGCATTCGCATAGAAGTATTTCACCAAGGCATTTACTGCTTCGCCCAGTTGTTGCTGTATTTCGTTTAGTCGCAGCCCTGAAAGTACAGCCGAGTCCAGCATTCCTGAGCATTAAAACCTACTGCTAAGACGGATGTAAACAGAGAATACAGAAATGCATTTTTGTTTGTTACCAATCGAACAATAAGAACAGACAGTATAGAGAAAAGATAAAGAAAAGTCAATGGATTACTCACCGACTGTAAGGTTATTTTGATTTTGGCTTCACCTCAACTATCAATTTCTGCCTTAAAAACCTAATGTAATATTCTCTGTACAACATGATTTGGCCGTACTGGCTGTGCTGACGAGATACAATTGTGGAGCTGAGGCAAGATGTAAAAAAGTTGATAAATGGAATTTATATTAAATGTTTGAGTTACTTTTATGCATTTTTGCATGTATACAAATTGCAAAAATGCATACTGGGAAGAGACTGTCTGTGTGTGTGTGTGTGTGTGTGTGTTCGCACTTTTTGTTACCCGCTTTCAAGTCGAGAGCCAGAAAAGCTAAAAGGCTAGAACTTTGGGAGTACGTGCCCACACTATGCGCGACAATCCCGTTTTAATATCATCGTCCGCCTACGCCTGGATGCCGCGTATGGAAAAATATGCAAACTTTTCGGAGGGAAAGTGGTCACGGGAATCAGACAAGGTAATGGGCTGAAACTTTGCAAAGATATTCCCTGTGTAAGTGAGAGAAAAACATTCCAACTGAGCCTCCAGGCACGTGTGGTACTCACGTAAGGGGGTATGAAAGTTTTGGCAGGAAAATTACTAATTCGGGAACTAGAAAAGCTAGGAAGATGAAGTTTTGGGAGAATGTTTCCTGTTCAAGTATAAATTAAATATTTGAAATTCAGCCCTCAGAGATGCGTGGTCCTCACGTACGAGCACGTGGAAGATTTGACGGAAAAATTGCTAGCTCGGTACCCAGAAAAGGTGGAAGGCTGAAATTTTACGGGGATATTCCCTGTCCACATGCAATTTAAAGATTTCAAATTCAGTGTCCGGGCATATGTGGTACTCACGTAAGGACCTATGAAAGTTTTGGCAGGAAAATTACTAACTCGGAAACCAGAAAAGCTGAAATTTAAGGGGGATGTTTCCTGTCCAAATCCAACTTAAAGGTTACAAATTTAGCCTTCAGGTGCGCGTGGTTCTCATGGACACTTACAAGTTTTGGCGGGAAAATTGCTCACTGGATAGCCAGGTTACTTTCAATGAACGAAATGAAAATTGTTCATTTACTCTATGCAAAATTTATGGTGACTTGCGCTAATGAGCGCAGAAGGTAGGTGTAAAGCAACAACAATTTATGCAGCTAACGACCTGAGTACTTCAAGTTTGGTGCAAAAACGCATGATCGCACCGGCAAGCCTAGTGCTTTTCAACCTACGTTTCATTTAATTCAATGTATTCTGGTATTTGAGATTTGCGTAAAAGCTAATTAAACTCCTTCATATATATATATGAAGAATGGGCTTTGCGTAAAGACTCACTTGAAGACTTATGACTGGAGGATTCGGATCGGCTTGTACTTGGAGATCGCGAGCGCGGAGGAGTTCGACTTCGAGTATTTGTTTTACTAACTGTATGATCTGAAGAGCTTTCGTCTGATAAGGTCTCTCCTGCGCCCATCTGAAAAAAAGGACACCCTAAAAATCAGTTGCTGATGAAGAATACCAACGGTAAAGAAAAACATAAGTGAATTAAAAAATGGAAATCACCCGTTTTTTTTGCGTTTTGTGCTGTGTAACAGGGTTACAAAACGCACATTGTTACGGGGTTGTCTGTGTGTGTGTATGTGTGTGTGTGTCCGCAGCAACTTGTCCGCAACTTTCAACTCGGGAACCAAAAAAGCTAGGAAGCTGAAAATTTAGGGTAACATTCCCCACTCACATGTGACCCCGAAAATTTAAATTCAGCTTCCCCGTACCCGCGGGTAACGCGAAGGCCCTGTGAAAGTTATTCACGGGTAAGTTAATATCTCGGGAACCACAGAGTATAGGAGGCTGAAATTTAAGAATAATGACCCCCTGCCCACGCTCAACCTTGCCCATTCAAATTTAGCGTTCTCTCGCTCCCGGTTACCACCTATGGCCTCGCGAAAATTTTGGCGGATAAGCTATTAACTCGGGAATCACGGAAAGACATTCATCCTTCAAGGCTTCGAATTCAGCTTTCATACGCTGGTGCGTGAAATTTTTGACTGTTTTCCAATGTTTTAACTATTTTTGTATAGAATAAAGTACAAAGCAGTGAAAATCATTAACAGGCAATCGTTCGGTGGACTGAGTAGCACAAAACGCATGATAGCACCGGCTAGTCTGGTGCGCGTTGCCATTTATTTAGAGCTTAAGCTGTAAAACTGTGAAATAGTTTTGCCTAAATGCAATGTCCTAATCATTTTGTGAAGTGATTGGCTTTTTCGATGCTTTTAATAGCTTTAGGTTTTGGCACTCTTTTTAAAAACAAAAGATCCGTGCGGTAATCACAAATAAAG